CTCATATGTGAGAGTCCTGGGTTCATGTCCCAAGGCCTCCCTATACACACAGAGCACACATGTGCATACCTGTCATCTGGGCTGAGTGAAGCCGGAAGTGGATCATGGCATGAAGATTCTGCTGGGGGTACCCCTCAATAAGTAAACAACTTTTAGGCACATAGCTTTAGCATTACATTTATTCTTTGCACCTAATTAATTGAATCATTTTCCATTTGATAAACATTTATTGAACAACTGCTATGAGCTGGTTCCTGTTCCAGAAGCTGGAGATTTATACAGTTAAAATGCGTATTCCTACTCTTAAGGAAATTAAAATTTGGGGGGAAGAAGAAAACATGTATGAATATGATAAAAAGTTGCCGCTGAAGTGGTGGAAACTTGGATTCTGGTGGGGAACAGTGCAAAGAAAATAGCAGTTATCTCTAGCTGGGGATAGAGGTGTGGTAGGATCATGGAAAACTTCATGGAGGAAGTTGCCCTTGAGTCTTGAAGTATAGGGAGGACTCCCCCAAGCAGACAAGTGTCTATGAGCCAAGGACATCTCTGGAAGAGGGAAGGGCATGAACACAAAAGCAGAGGTGCGAGAGCATGGTGCAAGTGGGCAATTATAAGTGATTCTGGATGGCACCACTGAAATGGATTGAGGGAAGGGAAGAAATAAGAATGATAAAGAAAAAAAATGAGGACAACTTTTGTCTTCTTTATAACTTTGCTCAGATTCAGGCCTGTAACCACTGTTCACTCTGTATTTCCTTTGTCTAACAAATAGATTCAAATCTGACCCACACAAAGCTGAAAGCACTTCCGTTTGCAAAATCGTCTTGTTTCCAAAAATGTTTACATATATTTTGCAAGTAAATATGTTGAATGGCACAACTGGATATGGATTAATGCATTACTGTCGACTGCATATTCCTCTGAGTTAGTTCAAGTCTTTTCGTTTGTACTTCTCATTGGAAAAAAAAACAGCTCATAAATATATCAGTTAGCTATTCTGATTTCTAGAGCTCTAAAGAAGTTATCTCACTAAATGCTAGTGTTTTGGAATGTTCGTACAACTAGTTTGTACTTTCTGTGTTTGCATTTCCCTACTCTGTGACTTCACTTGCAATATTGTTTACCAGACTAGTTGAGAATGGGTCTTTCCTTTTTGCTATGAAACTTACTGGTTATTGTGTTCAAGCTCACAGAAACGAATGTTTGGAGCTCTTAAGAAGCTGGCATGTTAGTTCTCCTTTGTGAAATATTTTCCTCTCACAATTGGAGAGTCTTTATCTGCTGTTGACTACAGGCTATCCTGCATGAGCA